AAAGAGTGACTGAAGCTCATTATAACTGCTCCTCCTCCTAATGTTTTCCCTTAATTCAAAATTATAATTAAGCACATAATTTTTGTGAAACTGCCCAGGAAGTTGATGAATATGATAGCTTTTACAAAGGAAATTTGGAAAGATGTGGATATTCCAGCTTATATATTCAGAGAAGCGGGCAGAAGCGTGATGGATGTGGGATCTTTTTCAAGCATGAAAAGTATGCTATTTTTTATTTGTTTTCTTTTTTAAATCTTACTCTTTCTTAAAGAAAGATAGCTTCTTATTGTAGGCACTACTATCATCTTACCTATATCTTTGATTAAAAAAAGAAAAAAACAACTAGACATTTCTGGCTGTGGCAATAGAACTAATTTGAAAACCATTGGAGCGTAAACAACTTCTATTCCCAGTTTTTTTGGTTGTGGAATATCCTACTATATATATATATATATATATATATATATAATTTTACAAGTACATAAAAGTTCTAAGCTTTTATTTTTTTGCTACGCCTGATGATAACTAATGATCAGTTATTCCAATTTGTTCAACTTTTGAGCTCAGGAACCTATGCATATATTTTTATATTTTCTTGCGTGAACTCATCTTTGCTGGGTTTTTTTTCTCCTTAATCTGAAAATTTTAGGGGCATTCTCCTTATAATCTGGCATCTTGTGTAACATTTATTTCCTCAACGGTTTCAGTGCTGAGTTGATCATAGAAGATAGAATTGAATACAATGATCTCGTAAACTCCATACAAGATGATGATTGTTCTTGTGAAGAGAAGTCTGAAAATGTGGTAACCAGTGCAAGTCACGATGTTGAATCAAACAAAGGTAACTTCCTTATTGTAGCAATTATTGTTATTATTATTATTTTTTTTTATATAAGAAACATCAAAGGGGTATGCATTTCAAATGAAGAGGCTGTGAAAGTACTAATTTGTATGAGGTTACAAAAAAATAGACTTGTCCTCAAACACTCGAGCGTTTCTCTCTTTCCACAAGTGCCACAAAAGCGCTCTGAAGGCAACATCCAGCCACAATCGCTTTCTCTTTCAAATTCCAAGTGTTTAGCCTTTCCATGTTCCAACCAACTACCTCTTAGGGAGACAAACAGAAATTCCCAGTAGTCCAGTCCTGTTAAGTAATTCCAAACACAATAGGTGAAGTCACAACGAATGAAGAGGTGATAAATAGTCTCAATCTTCTTGTAACAACCCTAGCAGTACAACCCAAGCTCACCGCTAGCACGTATTATCCTCTTTGGGTTTTTCCTTTCGGGCTTCATCTCAGGGTTTCTAAAATGTGTTTCCTAGAGAGAGGTTTTCACACCCTTATAAAGAATGTTTCGTTCTCCTCCCCAACCAACGTGGGATCTCACAATCCACCCCCCTTCAGGACCCAGCGTTCTTGCTAGCACTAGTTCCCTTCTCCAATCGATGTGGGACCCCCTAATCCACCCCTTCAGGGACCAGCGTTCTTGCTAGCACACCGCCTCGTGTCCACCCCCTTTGGGGCTCAGTCTCCTCGCTGGCACATTGACCGGTGTTTAGCTCTGATACCATTTGTAATAGCCCAAGCACACCGCTAGCAGATATTGTCTTCTTTGGGCTTTTCCTCTCGGGCTTCCCCTCCTCTCGGGCTTCCCCTCAAGGTTGTTAAAACGCGTTTGTTAGGGAGAGGTTTCCACACCCTTATAAAGAATGTTTCGTTCTCCTCCTCAACCGATGTGGGATCTCATACTTCTTTAAGCATAATATGCACCCCAATGGTGAATGACATTTCTTATTTTAGCTTAGTCTACCTCTTCATGAAGAGTCTTGAAAGGAAAGTAATAGCATGAGAAGTTGATAATGACAAATCATGAAAGAAGAAGAGTTATATGCCTCTTCTATATTACCGAGGAAGAATTGTTAGGAGCATTATCCATGGTTTATTTTTATTTCTTTCTGTCTCCAATTCTTTTTATTAAAAAAAAAAAAAATACATATGGCGATAAGTTTTTTATATAGCTTACTAGCTTTGTCACAGCCTATAGTAGCTAATTCAAATATGTGAATTTAGGTTCATCACCAAAAACTACACTACCCGATAGTGGGGATCCTAACGATCCCCGTGTGAGACTGAAACGTGATTGTGTTGGAATTATGGCTGCTTTCAGATTCAAGAAGCCTTTTCATCATGTTGTAATCGTTGCAAACACCCATCTTTACTGGTAAAATTTTACTTTTACTTTTACTTTTGGGACCTGTTCTATTGAAGAACACCTTATCCACCCAATATGTAACAAAAGCGTCTATTTTATTACAGGGATCCAGAATGGGCTGATGTCAAGCTCGCCCAGGCCAAATATCTTCTATCACGCCTAGCTCGATTCAAAACATTAGTATCTGAGAAGTTCGAATGCACACCCTCGATACTTTTGGCTGGCGACTTCAATTCAACCCCAGGGGATAAGGTTTGTAATCTATCCCGATTTATCGTTTGCAAAGCGTTTTCTTGTTCTGAAAAAAAAAATGGTATTTGTCTATTGAACTGTAGTTAGTATTGAGTATTAGTTCTTTCTTGGTTAGTGATCTTAGAACATAGGCTAACAAGGCAACATGGCAGAAACACGTAGAGAAAATTAGGCTAGATAATCTCGTACACCTCTACCTTATATTTTTTTTCCGAAAACCTGACCTTTTACATTTCATGAACATTTTAAAACTGTCATAAAGTAGAAATTTGTTAGAATGTTGGACATGAAATCGATGTAGCAGTGACCTAGAACACATGGTGATGACTAAGACACTCACGTAGATTAAGTCTGAAAGAACAGCCTACAGACACATTTGTTAAACAAACGTCTTTTATTTCAATTTTTTATAATTTAGCTTTAAAACAATATCATACTAAAAAATCCATAACATCGTCGAAAAAACACCGACACACTTCCGTTTTTACCCCTAAAAGTTGAAGGCCTAACATTTGTTACTTCTCATAATCATTTAGGTATACCAATACCTTATTTCTGGCAAATCTTCTTCTGGATTTTCGCCTGAATGCTTGGAAGAGCTTCCATTGCCCCTTAGTAGTGTGTATGCTACTACACTAGGGAGAGAACCGTCATTTACAAACTTCACTCCTGGCTTCACTGGTACTCTTGATTATATATTCTTCTCACCTTCAGACTCTATAAGACCCATTAGCTTTCTAGAACTTCCTGAATCAGAATGCCCAGAGGTCATTGGAGGGTTACCCAATTTTAGCTACCCAAGTGATCATCTTCCAATTGGAGCTGATTTTGAAATCACAATGGAATAAGTTATTGGTTCACCATTTCTAATTTTCTCCCACATTTTTTTAAATATTGTTTCTTTAATCGAAGAGCGTATGAAGAAAGCTAACTACTTTCGTGATTGATCAAAGTTGACAATAATTGTAAACCAAGATCTCTTGAAATTTAGACGTATTTATTGTTGTGGTTGAATTATAATTTAGTTTCGATATAGTTTGTTTAGTTTGTGTTCTGTTTTGATTCGGTCATTTTTTTTTAATATTGTTTCTTTAATCGAAGAGCGTATGAAGAAAGCTAGCTACTTTCGTGATTGATCAAAGTTGACAATAATTGTAAACCAAGATCTCTAGAAATTTAGACGTATTTATTGTTGTGGTTGAATTATAATTTAGTTTCGATATAGTTTGTTTAGTTTGTGTTTTGTTTTGATTCGGTCCCTGTCCCCTATCCATATTGATAGTAATATTGAATTCTTAGTTCTAGTATACTTTTCTTTCTATTGTAGTATTTGAATCTCGTCATAACCTTCTAGAACCATCTAGGAGTGTCGCAGGATTAATGAGCTAAATTCAAATTTAAAATTTAAACTACAAAAAAACATATAATTTTACTGAATTCTATTTTATGTTTTTGAATTTATTTTAAAGTATGTTCTTATTTGGATGCAATTTATATATGATATCGAGCTAAGTCGTGTTTCTTAAAATACAGTTTTATGCGTATTACAAATATTAATTTATATGACTGAATTTTAGTAAAGAGCGTTTTTTGGACTTTCGATATTACGTGTCAATTATTTCGATATTACGTGTCAATTATTGCTGAGCTACGTTTATTTTGGCTATACATGTTATCATATTTTTATAAACGTTTATAAGATAAAACTACAAAACGGGCATTTTAAGGTTGGGCTGAATTTTATAATTGAATATGAAAGATAATCCAATCAATTTTGAACACGTATGAATATAATTTAAAATTTAAGTGACTAAAAATATTAATTTATAAATGAAATTAATAAAATGTTAAAGCTTCTAATATATTTTTATCAAATATTAAGAATATCAAGTAATTAATTAGGAATAATTGTAATGGGCCCACGTAAGTGTCCAAGCCCATGTTACATCTCAAAGGCCCAATCCACTCATCTTTACTTTTTATTTTTCGTTTTGTTTTTATTAAATTTTATTTATAAAATTATTTTAGTAATTATAGTTCCTTTTGTATTGATTATTTAAATTAGTTGTATTTTTCTTTTTTAGAGTTTATCAACGATACAAGATACAAATTTTTTAATTAAATTTAAACACGAAAACCCAATACCTAATTTACTATACAAAGATGCAATTGGATAAAAATATTTTTAATTTTGTTTTTGATAAATTATCGAAAAATTCAAAATTTTAATATACTGTTTTATTAGATATAAATTTAAATTTTATGTATAATATAACTCTAATTTTTAATTTAATTTAATTTATAACTTGAAGGATGCAATAGATATAAATTTTAAATTAATTTATAACTTGGAGGATGCAATAGATATAAATTTTAAAGGTAAAAGAAATAAATATGTTATTTAATGATTATTATTATTATTATTATTATTATTATTGGTAATAGGTTTAGAGTATTTCATTTCACCGTGAATTTAAATACAATTTAATATTATATTTCTGTATTTATTTAATTGGAGAAATTGAATCGAGATAACAGGCCATAAAATATTAAGCGGCAAGTGATCGACAGACTCGAGCTCGCTCTAAGTGAATGGCGGCATTGCTGCCCTCCGGCTCATGGCTTTCTCTGCCACTGCAATGTGGCTGCCCGAATCCTTCATCTTTTTCCTCTACTTCCACTTCCAAGTACACCACCAATTTCCGCTGTTGCTCGATAACTCAGATGCATTCGCCGGAGGCGTCCGAACAAGGTAAGATTCCGATAATTCCTCACACGCCACCGCTTCGCCTCGCCGCATCTGCGGTGGTTTTTCTCGGTTTAAATATTGGTTTCGGCATCGGAGCTCGATCCTGCTCTGCGGCTCTTTCGCCGGTGCCTCCTCCGGTGGCGGATAATTACAACCTGGAAGAGGAGAAGGTAGTTCTGAGTAAGTGCTCGAGTATTTTTTCTCTTGTTACTTGCTTCGTCAGTGCCGATTAGAGATTTGGTTTTATGGAATTTGAAGTAATTATTCGGAATTTTGATTCGAGTGCTTGTTTTGAACTATCGGGCTTGCTTGGCCTAGGTTTCGTTGTTTTTGAAGTTATGATTTCTGCTCTGTAGGTGAGGATGAGAAACTGGAGAAGAAGAAAATGGACGAAGCATTTGAAGAGTGGAAGTCGAAGAAGTTTGCTTTGACCGTTCCTTTGAGCGTCATTGCGCTTCGTGATTCTATTCCTCCTTCTTGGATTAAGGTCAGTCTAAGTTCCCAGGTTTTTGCAATTTTCTTTAGCTAGGAAAGATTATTGAAGAACTGTGGCGGTCTCATAATAACCATCAGATGTAGTTCAATAGTTTAGTTTGCATGCTCCTAATGACTTCTAGGTCTATAAATATCTATAAATTTAAATTCCATGTGTAATTGTCTCTATACATCCACTGTGAAAAACTTTCGGCCACATTGTAGCGACAAGTAATTTCTCGCTAGCTAGATGGTCCTTTCTCTTTCTCTGTTGTGTAATTCTTTCTCTTATTTTCACTCTTGTATAACAAGCACGAATGATGAAGAAATTGGGCTCTATGTCCTATTAGAAAACTCAGAATGATCATGATGCTTGTTATAGAAAATGTAGGATAAGTTGCTCTTCTTTTAACTATAATACGTTTTGTGATATCCCAAATCGGTTGGGGAGGAGAACAAATCATTCTTTAAAAGGGTGTGGAAACATCTCCCTAGCAAACACGTTTAAAAATCTTGAGGGAAGCTCGAAAGGGAAAATCCATAGAGGACAATATTTGCTAGTGGTGGGCTTGGGTTGTTACAAATAGTATCAGAGCCAGACACTGGTTGATGTGCCAGCGAGGAAGCTAAGCCTCGAAGGGGGTAGATACGAGGCAGTGTGCCGGCAAGGATGCTAGGCCGCAAAAGGGGATGGATTGGGGGGTCCCACATCGATTAGGGAAGGGAACGAGTGCCAATGAGGACGCTGGACCCTAAAGGGTGTGGATTGTGAGATTCCACGTCGGTTGGGGAGGAGAACGAAACATTCTTTATAAGGGTGTGGAAACCTCTCCCTAGAAAACGCGTTTAAAAACCTTGTGGAGAAGCCTGAAAGAGAAAGCCCAAAGAAGATAATATTGTTAGCAGTGGGCTTGGGTTGTTACACCTCTAGTTTATTGAATTTTCCTAAACCGCTCCATTTACTTTCTTAAAAACCAATGTAGAAACTCTTCAGTTCATGTCTGCTTTGCTTGCCTCTCTTGATCCCCATCTTTGTACTGACCAAATGACTTCTTTCTTTGGATGGGGAAGGATGACATTCTTTGTCGTGGAAGGAAGGAAGAATACTTCCTTTTGACCTGGATGTGTTGTATAGCTCATGACATAATGAAGAGAGGTGCATTTTGACCAAATTATCTGAACTACAATGGCTGTCCCCAATTTTGATGGTCTTTTTGTCCTACAATATGTTATAACTTAAGGTTATTTTGTTCAAAAGTTTTGATGGATTAAATTATTTACAGTGAAGCCCAAGGTTACACCCTTTTAGAATGAACAACTCTTTGAAAAGTGTTCTTTTGTAATTATTTTCCCAATGTTTTGAGAATATTGGTCAGAGTTGGGACAATTTCTTATTGATCTTTTCATGTAGGAGTTTATTCAATCACAAGGGAAGAGATTAAAATTCAATGTGAAGTTCAATGGAACTCTTGGGAGTATTTTTTCTGATTTATCTGTTCCAATTGACAAAGGCAAGGTTAAGTCTTCATCCGTCATGGTTGCTGATCTTGTTAGTATTGGCGATTCCTGGCTCAACTTTGCAATTAAGAAGGCGCTTATCGAGCCCATTCACGATGTGGATGACCAAGAGTGGTTTAATAACTTAAGCACTAGATGGAAGGTAATACTGTAAATGGTCTTTTCAGTATTTCGATGATTGATTTGTCAACCTGTTTTATTAATCAAAGTGTTTTCATGCTAAATATATGAAGCGTTTTCAATGTAGCAGTGTCGAACACCGAATCAACTATATGAATCCAATTAAGTTTTGAAAAAATATTGTAACATAACCGTGTTATTATATTAATCAACTTCATATGTTAAAATTTTATCTTTTTGGCAAGTTATGTATCTAGTTGAATTCTGTTGATTATGCCATATTGCAATGTTCTACTGATATAGAAACCAAATCAATACGTAGCATCGCTACACGTAGCCCATTCGACCTAACCCTTAAACTTCTTTATATCTTTGAATGTCTTGGATAGTTTGTGTGCATTTCAACTAGTCTCTTAGCCATAATCGTTCACAAAAAACCCGTCAAAATATCCCCTCAAATTCAGAATATTATTACATGCATCTTTTATTTGCACTAACAATGTTGCAGGTACTTCTACGCAGAAACTCCGAGGGTGAAATAGATCCGGGAGGTAAAATATGGTCGGCTCCATATAGATGGGGCTGCATGGTTATAGCATACAATAAAGTCCAATTTCGAAAGAACAACTTGGCTCCCATGGAGGTACTAACTATTAATAGATAACTTTTGTCCTCCATGACTGATTTGGTATGGAGTTTCATATGTTCTACGTGTACAAGTATTTCACATTTGTGACTAAAAAACATATTGGATTTTCTGTCTAAATGTTCTAGAACTTAACGTCGTACTTTTTGATCTGAAGAGCAATTTCGTTCCCTAGTACTCTTAGGTGTGCATTAATACTGCTGCTGCAGGACTGGTCAGATTTATGGCGCCCTGAACTTCGAGGAAGGATTTCGATGGTCGATTCACCTAGAGAAGTAATTGGTGCTGTTTTAAAGTACATGGGTGCATCCTACAACACAAAAGACATTAGCTCGCAAATTCCTGGTGGCAAAGACGCCGTTCAGCAAAATTTAACTTCACTTGCAAAACAGGTTAGATATGAATGAACGTTCAATGTTCTTTTTTTTTTTTTAATTATTTCTTGCAACAAGAATAGAATATTTTTTTGATTTTTTTCTTGTGGAAAAGTTGTTGAACTTGACTTTTCCTCAGAACCTTTATCTAGAGTGATATACATTCGTTTTTTTAGTATTTTGTTTTTGAAAATTTAGCTTATAAACATTCTGACCACGAGTTTCTTTGCTTTGTTATCTACTTTCTATTTTCAAACTCTGAGCTTAGTTTTGCAAATTGGCTAAAAAATTGAATGTTTATTTAAGAAATGTTAACCATAGTTATGAAATTGTATGCACATTTTTCAAAAGCAAAACTAAAAACGAAATTGTTATGACGCTGACCCTAAATTTCTTAAAGTTACGAAATTGTTATGACACTGACCCGAAATTGTTATGACTCTGAGCTTAGTAGTAATGATTTAGCAAATGATGCGTTTTATGTTCTCATTTCACCCGATATTATTAACCATTGTAATTTGTCCATTGTTGTACACTTCTACATTTATATGCTCGTCTTACACAGGTACGTTTGTTTGATAGCACACACTATCTGAAAGCATTTGCGGTTGGGGACGTTTGGGTAGCTGTTGGATGGAGTAGTGATGTTCTTCCTGTCGTCAAACGCATGTCGAATATTGCAGTGGTCGTCCCCAAGTCTGGATCAAGCTTATGGGCTGATTTATGGGTATATTCAATTGATTCCTGCCTTCTTTGCATCAAGGATAATTAAACATAAGGTTCAAAACTAGGTTTGGATAGAAATGGGCAATGCTCCTGATGATACAACTCTCATTTTCTTCATTCAAAAGTTCAGGTTCAGCAACTGTGTTGTGTGTTTTATATCAGATATGTTTCCTTTTTTTCAGGCAATTCCTGCAACCTCCAGAATTGAGGCAGAGCCAGTTGGTGGAAGAGTTAAGGGACCCTCCCCCTTAATCCACCAATGGATTGAATTTTGCTTGCAGCCTGCTAGAGCACTGCCTTTCAAGCAGGAGGTAGTTCCCGGTGCGTCACCCGCCTCCATAGAAGGTCCAGAGGTCGTTCCTAAAGAACTGTTTGAAGGTAAACCAAAGTTGGATACAAACCTTATCGGTGGCGTACCCCCGCTCGACATCTTAGAGAAATGTGAGTTCCTTGAGCCTTTATCTGAGTCTACTTCGGCAGATTTTCGATGGTTCGCTGCGAATATGCAGAAAAAACCGAACCATCGCTTGATGGACAGAGTTCATCAAGCTGTCTCGTCCCTTGTAGGATTTGTTTCTCAAATCAGCTTTAAAAACTGAACCAAAACCAGTAGGCAACCAAGTGAATTTTGTTGTTTTGAGAGATCTTTAAGGTCGCCTTACGTTTGATTGAGAATTTCATTGATAGTACGAAGAATTATAGAAATGGCCTATTCAGAGGATTTAGAGAAATGAATGTTTTTAACTTGGTGGGGATATGAGTTCAGCGTTTGTTTGAGGTTCTTGTGGAGTCTGGAACATAACGTACTTGTCACATCATTATTCCTTGCGATTGTGCGGCACTCACTTTCTAACGGAGCTAAGTCAATTCGTTCTTACGTCGCCTACGACCAAACCACGTATGTTCGAGCCTCTGACCTCGGTTTAAGAAGGTTTTAAAAAACGAGAGCAGAGAGAGATTTTCAAAAGAGAAATTTTGAAAGAGACATTATGTAAACAAGTAAGAGAGTAACAACAACGGCTCGTGTAACCTTTAGTAGGAGGATATGACTTTATTACGCGAAAATAGTCAAGTTGCATATAAGTAAATATTATTGCTTCAAAGACTAATATTTTTCTTTTTTAGTTCGGGTAAAATAAGGAGATTCAACCTCTATCTTTCGTATATGCCTAAACAAGTTTAGTTATGTTCAAGTTGGTTAATACTCTACCCGAGACATTTGTCCTAATAATTAACTGTTTGAGAGAGAGATTGAATAAAAGATGAATAGGAATTCTCAGGGAAAATAAAATGTAAGAAAACTGACTAAAAGACCATTCATTGAATATGATACAATTATTCATATACATTTAATTTAGAGTCCAAAGCTACAGAAAATTACAAAGGAAACGAATGATTTAAGAGGGAAAACCTGCGAGAGATTGAACAAACAAACTCACAAGTAATTCACTGGCGTGGGACTTCATTTGCATGGGGCAATTAATTCCAATAACCCACGCAAATTGAGGGCTGGTTAGTTAGAGAAACAGCAAATGGAACCTTTTGAATCCTCTTTGAAACGATACTGGCTGCTGTACTACTACTCCACATTAGAACTCAATCACAAAAGCTGCACAATGCTGATGAATTTTCAGAAAGAAGTAAAGAAGAATCGATGAGATAGAGAGCATGAACCTTGAAGAAGATGTTAATCCTTGCTGCTGATTCAACAGTTTCTTTTTTAAGGTTCTATGCCTTCATTGGCATGGCTATCTTCTCTTGTCTTCTCAGCATAGAGGGCTTAATCTGTATCATAGAAATCACTTGGACATGGAGTCATAACCTCAGATTCTAGTATCTGGACCACCCTGTGCATGGTTGGTCGATCCTCTGGACTCGACGAAACACATTGGATGGCAACTGAAAGCAATGCATCGAGGCTCTCTGTTTGCATGCCCTCACAATGTGGATCGACTATTTCTCGTTGTCGATTCTCCGAGACTAGAAAGTTTAGCTGAAAAACGAACAACATTTGTTAGAAGAGCGTTTGTATGGGATACTATCTGTTGGGTTTCGAAGTGTAGATATTGTGTCAAGAGATCATTTTGGATGAAATTGATCAAACTATCTCTATAGTTAGAAAGTATGTTGCTGTTTGAAGTGTAGGCATGACTACCGAAGGATATACATGAAAATATAATATTGCATGAAAATTTATATCTATTTAGTTTCTAACTTTCAAATTACAAATTTAATAATTCAACTTTGAATTTTTTAAAATTGAAGTTTCAGAATTTCATCAGAATTTCAACATAACTCGAAATTAAAAGATTAGAAACTTTCTAGACACTTTTCGAAGTTCCATAACTCGAAATTAAAAGATTAGGAACTTTCTAGACACTTTTCGAAGTTCAAGAACCAAATAGCCACAAACTCAAAGTTTAAGACCTAAACTTATAATTTAACTAAGGGAATCAAAACAAACAAATATCGTCGCCAGCATCTGTGTGAAATTTTCTCATGTTGTTCATGAAGAAATGCTCAACGCCAAATTAACCATAGTTAATTACAAAATAAAAGAATAGTCCGTGAAATTCAGAAGGAAAGAAGCATACCCAACCAACAATGTTTAGCCCCTTCTCAATGAATGATGCATCCGTGGGACGTTTGCCACTCATCACTTCAAGTACCAATACTCCAAAACTGTACACATCAGTCTTTTCAGTAGCTCTACCACTTTGCATATACTCTGCTCATAAAAACATAAAGATCAGCATGAACATATCATTTAAGTTAGAAAACAGTTTTTATTGTTCGAGCTCAGTATATGCATCAGTAAAGAACCATTGTTCTAAAACCTTACAAAAATCACATTTTCAATGGCTTACCAGGAGCCAGATAACCAAATGTTCCTGCAACAATAGTCGTGATATGAGATTCTTCATCCTCTAAAAGCTTCGCAAGTCCAAAATCAGAAACTCGAGCCTCCAAATTAGCATCAAGTAAAATGTTGCTTGATTTTATGTCTCGGTGAATGATCCGCGGGGAGCAATCATGATGCAAATAAGCAAGTCCCTTTGCAGCTCCCATGATAATATTTAAGCGTGCGTCCCAGTATAGTTGATCCGATGCTTCAGTACGGACCCCTATCATTTTCCACATAAAATGCATTAAATCATATTTGGGCCTAGAGTGTATGTCACAAACAGAAACTAGGACACGGATGAGTTCTAACATAATACTTAAAGAACAATCCTTTTCTATCCATATTCGACTAACAACCAGGCATTTTGGGCCTAGAATGTATGTCACAAACAAAAACTAGGACACGGATGAGTTCTAACATCTAGACTTGCATGTAGTAAAGAGGAAAATCTAGTAATAGAATACAGTCTCCAGAAGTAATAGGTTAACAAATAGATGTGAGCAGCTATCCAACTCCCTACGTCAGTATGTTTTGGCATGATATGAAGTGCCCTAGCAGAAAACGAAGCATAAAAATAATATCATAAGAATCTTACCGTGTAGTGCCTCATCAAGGCTGCCTCCAGAAAGGAAATCATAAATTAACAGCTTTGATGTAGGAGACTTGCAATATCCTCGCAAATTCACAAGGAACCTGTGTTTTATGCTTCCAAGGATTTCAAGCTCCCTCTCAAAAAATCGATCAAAGCCCTCGTTCAATTTTACAATTCTCTTCAAGGCAAAAACATTGCCATCATCCATTGCAAGCTTGTACACCGTTCCAAAGCCCCCACATCCTATTATGTGTTCTTCATTCAATGTCTCAAATTTCTTAATAATATCTTTAGATGAGTATGGCAAGTCTCCGTGAAACATTACACCCGATGCACCTGAAATAGCAAGACGATATTAAATGACATTCAGAGACAGGAAAGGAAAGTCAACACAAGTACTTGGGTTCTTTTCATTCCTTATTTCTCCAGTAAAAATTTTCGTTTCTTGATTAAGAAAAAGTTATTCAACTAGTGTGCAGGGAATTAATAAATAAGTACCTCCACAAACATCGAGCACTTGCCCTTTATTGTCATTTTTGCCGAACTTTTTATACATAAAGCAACCCCAGAAACACATTAGGGCAACCAACAGCAAAGCACCCACAGTAGCGGAAGCACTTATAAGTAGTCGGCCAGAGTACTTCTTCCTCTCAATTTGACTTTGCACTACAAAAATTTGAACTTTCATCAAAATATAACTCATGAAAAGCCAGGATAGAGTTACTCTGATGAGAAGTCCTGATGATGAGTTCACTAGGAACTTCACGAATCCTCGAAACATATTAAGTAATACGGAAGATAAGGAACTAAGTATTCCTTCCGTATTCCTTATGGCCGGGTCACTAGAGCAACTTTCCAAGGAAGAAGGGATCTCAATAAACATATGAAATAATTGGCATTATGGCAGATAAACTCAAGTGCAAGTTAACCTGAGAATGGTGACTCATTTCTTCCTGGTCCCTCCTTGTCATGTTTGCACATAACATTGATTTGCTTCCCGCACAAGCCACGGTTTCCAAGAAATCTAAAAAATGGTCAGTGAATCAGTTATCGATGACTTAAAAGGGAATACTTGCATTAACAAATTAATTCACTATAAGGCCCTTCAGATGAAGTGTCCTGTACGATCTACGGGACTGACAGCACCTTCAAACCCAAATTATGCATCTACTTAATTTAAATAAAAACATCATAGGTCCATCAGAGAACACTTACGAACTTTCGGAGAAGTTGATTAGCACGCCAACATTTGGTATTGATCCAACCAGAAAATTGGCAGAAACATTTCTTCAAAATGTCCAATCATGAGATCATCAGACTCAATATATTTGAAGCAGGAAACCATTTGATTAACAAAAATTATACCAAGCACTGGAATAACGAAAAGTAATAAAGGCTGCTTACAGAGTAATAAGCTTGCTCAGCTTCCCAAGCGAGATGGGAATATTTCCACCGAGTGAGTTACTTGAAATATCTCTGCAACAATTTTTTTAAAAAAATCCCAAAAGAAGATTCAAGATCAGAATATCCCAAAAGAAGATTCAAGATCAGAATATCCCAAAGGAAGAAAGATTTACGAGTGAACAATTCCAAACAAATTAATAGAAATACGTTCAACACATAATAATGCTTTCATGCGTGGAAGGCATAGATGTTACCGCCTGTGTGCATGATTGTGTATAGCGAGCGCGTGCAAATAAGACATTCAAATGCAGATAAATTGATATTCTAAATGACATTAAAACATTTTAAGAATGAAAGTGGTGACAATGGCATATAGTTGGCGTGATAACATGGTTGTCAGTGCTTGGACGGTAAACCGTTTTGACCTATTGAGATCCAAATGTAATTCTAAAACAAGTCATTGCGATTTTGCAATGATTGTCAGTCATAAAACTACAGGAAATAATAAATATCTGACTGTACAAGATTCCATGAAAAAGGAAATTAAAACTTACAAATTTAGAAGTGCTGAAAGATTCCCCAATTCATTGGGAATGAACCCACTAAAATAATTACCCTGCAGGAACCTGAGGAAAATAATGAAAATTGCAACTCGTTTAATTTCATCGGTATGTACAAAGAATATAGAAACATGACTGGGATGCGGAATTGTAATCATAAGAGATTTTCTCGGGAAGCTACTGTAAACACAAATCAACTTGTAGATTATAAGAAAAAAACAATACAAGATTCTGGATCCTGTTAAAGAAGCACTTTCAATAGAGCATAAACGTCTAAACCCCTCCTCCCAGACGAAATAATAACAACAAAACAGAA